GGCATCTCTGCTGCAGCCACGTATGCAGTCATTCCTTCACGAAATCTTTCCTGTGAACATACAAAGGTGGAAAGAGTAGAATTAGAACCTCCAAACACTAGTTCGGTTTGTTTCGAGTCGAGATCGGCTGGTTTTGCTTTGCAACTCCTCAATACGTGTCTATTCAAATGCGTTGTGCTCGAGCCAGGCTTCCAACTAAGTTCTTTGCCACAATAATTGCAACATACTTTCCAAATATCTACTCCATCTTGAACACCAATTTTTTTCGTGTCATATGTTGCCAACAGTCCGATGATTCTTTTTTTGACCTTTTTGTCTCGAGTACTTGAACTTCTTCCTCTTCAATATCCTCCAAATTAATTGGAACATTTTCACATGCATCGTAGTTAGATGGAGTACTCGAACTACCGCCAAACTGATTGACTTCATCACTTGTAAAATCCATAATAACTAGTATAATAAAAAATACTGAATATTAGACTGTAAAGTGAAAGAAATTGAATATATTAATTGTTATATGAGAAGTGAGAAAGAAGAAATTGAAACTTGAATCTGAATCTATGATATAGAAATAATGCGAATTAAAATCGATAGCAAAGTGATTTAAAACTTCAAAAATCATCTCGTATTTATAGATAAAAAAACCCGCATTATTTTTCAAATTTGAATTTCAAAAAGATAACATTGTAGTGTACCAATACGAAAAAAGGCAGCTATAGCTGCCTGTGACCTGCTGCCGTGCAGCAGTTAAAATATTTTTTTAAAATTTTTTTCTTTAATTTGCTCCGGCCGAGCATTTTTGTCACGGGCCATTTTTGGCCTGTGACACGAGCCGGCCTCTTATTTTGAGGCTCGGCTCGAGCCTAGGCTCGATCCCTACGAGCCACGAGCCGGGCGGGCTTGGGCTTTTCCCGAGCCGAGCCACGAGCCGCCCGAGCCTTTTTGACACCCCTAGGTGCGTCCAAGCTTTGTAAAGTTGGAGGAGGAGCTCATCCGAGGCGACCCAAATGTCCAATGATTTGACAACTGTTGCGTGTTTCCAAGTTGACAGTTGGGTGCCATGCTCATTCTCCTAAAAGGCTGCTGCGGCTAGTAATTATTATTGACGGCTGGTTGTAATCGAGGTGACGCGTTTCAATTTAGCGTGAAGGTCACAGCGACATCTTGGGCGTAGATCAAATCTGGCGTTTCATTTCAACGGCCCGGATTGAGGATGCGACGAACGGCTTAGATTGATCGCATTTGAATTCAACGGTGGAGATTGGACTTGTTTTTCCTATAAAAGGAGGACTTTGGGGTTTTCTCAGACTTTCTACCTTTGCAAGACTAAAATCACAATTTGCTCTCAAATTTCCGGCGATTTCCGGTGTTTTGCAAGCAACTCCGGCGAGAAAGAACGATACTTCCGACGATCCTACACCATTTCCGGCTAGGAAAAACTTCCAAACCCGTAAGTTTCAGCACCCATTTGGACTTTAAAAAATTTCTTAACAAATGGCCTCGGAAGGGAGTTCTGGTTTGGGAAGGGGCTTAGAAATAGTGAGGGTGGACGAGCCATTGTGGCGACCTCCTCAAAAATAGCTGGGGCAATAATGGGGGGTAGAACATATGGAAATGACCAGATAGCCCCCAGATACTTCTGTGCATTGGGGGCGTCGGACTACCCATCAAAATTAAGAGAGGCCGACCTGGGTAGACTTAGGACAGAATATAGGATCCCAGACAGTGTAGACTTGATCCTCCCTGAGTCGAAAGAGAGAGCCTGTTACCCAAGGCCGGGCTGTGTGGCCATTAGTGAGGCGATCCTTAGGGTCGGACTTAGGCTGCCTATCCACCCATTCTTTAGGTTGATGCTTAGGTCTTATGGGCTAGCCCCGACGCAGCTCAATCCAAACTCCTGGAGCCAGATGGTGGGCTCCTGGATGTTGTGGAAAGAGGCGTCATTAGGGGTGGAGATGCCCCTTTTCGTTTTCCAGACCCTCTATATACCCAAGGTTACTGCCGGAGGAGATAAGATCCGGGGTTGGTACTACCTTACGTCATGGGGTTCCCACACTCCATTCGTGATCGATCTGCCGAGCTCCATCAAGGAATGGAAGAGCTCATGGTGCTGGGCAGTGGGGCGATGGGACACAATGGAGGGGGACCCCCTGGCGCCTCTTACAGTCCCGGCGAAGTTTTCAACACTTAGTGAGAATAGTAGTTGCTCCTTTTATTTTCTCTTCGGTTCGACTTGTGTCTAACGGTTATGTTTCCTTTCGTAGGTTCTCTTCCTCGGTGCGAGCTATCAACAGAGGACTTCGACACTATCTGTGTCATTTATCAGCTGCCTCAGAAAAAGAGGTCCTACCACAGGCTGATCCGGAAGAACATCCATTTCATCACTCACGACTTAATGGCGTCTCAAGGTAATAGGACCGAAGCCCATACTTTTTTATTCCAAACTCCCTAGAGTTGTACTAATTCCTTATTTGTTCATTTGCAGATGACTTCAACTAGAAGCTGCCAGTACGTCCCGACTTCAAGACCATCCAGAAAATGATGGCTGAGGCACGGGCACTGAAGGCCTCCTCCTCTTCGTATAAGAAGTAAATGGAGGAGCTGGTGGAGGCCAGTAAGAGGCTCCAGCCTCCGACGAAGGAGTAGGTTCGGGAGGACCCGGAGGCTGACCTTCGAAGGAAGGGCAAGAAAAGTGCCGTCCCTCCCAGACGCCCAACTGTGGCGAGGCCACCCGCAGTTTTGAGGCAGACAACTATTCCCACGGGGGCGGCCCTCTCGGAGAGAAGCCCCGCTCCAGCAGAGCCTGTCGCTGCCCCGGACACAGCACCCCTTGCTGCCGTACCCATTGAACAAGTTCCGGGGCAGCAGAGGAGAAAAAGGCCCGCTCCACCAAAGAGGTTGATTTCCTGGGCACCAATCAAGAGGAGCCCGTAAGGGAGGTGTTGGAGGCTCTTCCTCCAGAGACAGCTGCTGTGGCGGTGGTCCACAGCAAATATTGGACCGAAGAGTGGAGGGACCACACCGCCTCCTGCACGGCCGAAGATTTGGTGGCGGCGAACAGCGCCTGCGTAGCCCTGGCACTAAGCACAAGCATCCAGCTCGAGGGCTTGGTGAAGGATCTAAACTCCAAGAGGGAGGACCTCGCCAAGCGCCTCGAGGAGGCGATGCATTATGGGGATGCTGTGCGAGCGGCCCAGGCCAAAGCCACCAAGGCAGAGGAGGGGAAGAAAGCTGCTGAGGTCCAGCTTACTACTGCGCAAGCAGAGGTGGAGCGGTTGAAGAAAGAGCTCTACGAAGTGGAGTGCCAAGTGGCTGCTGTGACTCGGTGACTTGACCACGCTAACGAGCACCACAAGCTCGCCACCGATGCTCTGGAGGCCTCTAACAGAGAAAAGGTAGAGCTGAAGCAGCAGACAGAGGCCCAGTTAGAGGAGATCGCCTTTTTGAAGGAGGAATTGAAGTCTGCGGGGGAGGTGGCAGTCCAGAATTTTATTGACCACTTCGAAGACCATCCCCTTTACAACGACTTTGCCAACTTCTGGGCCTCGTGGAGTGCCCAAAGCCTACTGGGTCGACTGAAGGAGGTGCATCCTACTCTGGACATCTCTCAACTGGAGGCAGAGTTTGGGGGACCAACTGGGGGTCGGCCTGATAAAGTTATTGAGGAGGCTCCAGAGGCCCAGGAGGCGGCCAGTGCTGAAATTCCTCCTACAGACTAGGGTTTCCTTTTTATCTTGTAATGGCTTCGGCCCCCAATGTACTTTAATTTTGTGAAATGGAATGAAAAATTTTTGTTAAGTCTTTTGGCTTCTGCTTCTTTGTATTCCTTTTGTTTTATACTTGTATGAATGACAAACATTAGACTAATTGCCTCGCGACAACGATCGATTAACAATTGTGAACCAGTCCGCTTAAGCAAACATAAGTCCAAACACTTAAGTGAGCAGGAAGTGATTCCTAACTTCAACTTCTTAATAATCTGAGGTCAGACCAATTGGGGAAACATGAGGAACCGCTTGGTAATCAGCTAATAATTGACGATCGGATCGCTCAAATGAACTTTCCGAAGAACTGAGGAAGCTATTCCCTAGCTGATATGGTTTGGAACTGGAAATTCATTACTAAGATAAATTACACCACCCTTTACAAAGGCGATTCCATCACTTAAGAAACTTTACAACCGAGATCAGATCGGAACAACCGATTCGCTATGACACCTTAGGATTAGATCGGAACAGTCTTATCACTGGTAGTATTTTCTCAAGTGCTCGATATTCCACTTGTGAGGTAGCATCCTTCCTGACATATCTTCGATCTCGTAGGTACCAGGTCGGGATTCCCCTCGAATGCGGTAAGGGCCTTCCCAGTTCGGGCCGAAAACTCCCGACCCTGTTGGTTTTGAAGATTGGAAAACTCTTTTGAGGACGAGGTCGCCCGCGGAGAGTTCTGTTTCTGACCTTGGAGTTGTAAAAGTGGGTCATCTTGCGATGATATTTTGCCAAGGTCATTTGGGAAGTATCTCTCTTTTCCTCAAGGAGGTGCAGTTCACTTTTTCGTGCCTCGTCGTTGTTGATCTCATTGAAATGTATCCGTCGATGTGATGGGACCCCAACTTCGATCGGACTCATTGCTTCGGCTCCGTAGGTCATGAAAAATGGGGATTCGCCGGTTACAGTCCGGCAAGTCGTTCTGATGGCCCAGAGGACGTGGGGGAGTTCGTCAACCCAGGCGCCTTTCGAGGCATCCAGTTTCCTTTTCAGGGTGTGCTTGATAGTCTTGTTTACTGCTTCAACCTGTCCATTTGCCTGGGGGTGATGCGGAGTCGGGAAGTCCTTCTTTATGCCCAGTTTGTCGCATAAGTCTCGCATTTTCCTATTGTCGAACTGCCGCCCATTATCAGAGACAATGGAGTGGGGGATGCCGAATCTACAAATGACGTTTTTCCAAATGAACTTCGTAGTATTGGCCTCGGTGATTCGGGTAAGGGGTTCTGCCTCGACTCACTTAGTGAAGTAGTCGATGGCGACAATGGCGAAAGTTGCGCTTTCCCTCCCTTTTGGGAGTGAACCAATGAAGTCGATGCCCCACTTGGCGAATGGCCAAGGGCTGGTCACTACAGAGAGGCTCTGAGCAGGCTGTTTTTGCACGTTAGAGAAACGTTGGCACTTGTCACATTTCTGGACAAATTGGCAAGCATCCCTTTTCAGGGTTGGCCAGAAGTAGCCTTGAGGAGAACCTTGTGTGCCAGAGCCGTCCCTCCGGAGTGATTTCCGCAGATCCCTTCATGTATCTCTCTGAGTATGTATGTGGCCTCTTCGCCGCCCACACATCGAAGAAGGGGCGAAGCGAAGCCTCTCTTGTAAAGGGTGTCTTCTTGAAGGACGAAGTGTGCAGCCCTTCTTCTTAATTTTCTTGCTTCGCCTCTGGAAGCAGGCAGTGTTTGTTCCTTCAGATACGCGATTATGGGCTGCATCCACAATGGGGTGCCTTCTATCCACAGTAACTCTTCGCCTTCGAAGGTGCAGGGCTTCGATAAGTGCTCAATGGGGACGATGTTTAGAAGCTCTAAGTCCATGCTGCTGGCTAACTTTGAGAGGGCATCTTCATGGGCATTTTCTAGACGGGGGACTTGAGTTAGTTCGAAACTTTCGAAATGGGGAATTATGTCCAGAACCAGCTTCAAGTACGCAAGCATGTTACCATCTTTGGCTGCGAAATCCCCATTTACCTGATTTACTACGAGCTGAGAATCACTGCTTGCTAGGAGCTTCCTGACCTGCATTTCCTTAGCGAGCCTTAGACCTGCCAGAAGGGCCTCATATTCGGCCGCGTTGTTCGAGGCTCTGAAGCCGAATCTTATCACATAATTTAGCAAATGGCCTTCCGGGCTCTCCAACACGATTCCTGCCCCCGCGCCAGCCTCTCCTGAAGACCCATCTACAAACAATTTCCATGTGGGGGGCTCGGTCGGTTCCATTATGGCCTCCATTTCTGGGGTTTTGGTAAACTCGACCATAAAATCGGCAAAGGCCTGGCCCTTGATAGCATGTCTAGGTCGGAACGTGAGATCGAACTCGCTGAGCTCGATAGCCCATTTCAGCAGGCGTCCCGACGCGTCCGTTTTCTGCATCACTTGCCTTAAAGGGAAATTGGTGAGGACTTGTATTGAGTGGGCTTGGAAATATGGCCTCAGCTTTCTTGAGGCTGTGATAAGTGTGAGTGCCAGTTTTTCCATGTCGGAGTAGCGTGTTTCAGCTGGGAGAAGTGCTTTGCTGATGCAATACACCGGCAATTGACGCTCATTTTCTTCCCTGGTTAGGACCGCGCTGACTGCCACGTCTGAAACTGCTAGATACAGCAACAGAGATTCATCCGCCTGGGGTTTCGACAGGAGGGGTGCTTCCCCGAGGTGTTTCTTCAGAGACTCGAAGGCTTCTTGGCACTCCGAAGTCCATTGAAATCTCTTCCTTGCTTCAATACATTGAAGAAAGGTAAGCTTTTATCAGTGGCTCTGGAGATGAAGCGGCTGAGTGCGGCTATCCGGCCATTGAGACTTTGGACCTCCTTCGGTTTCTGAGGTGACCTCATTTCTAGTAAGGCCGCTACCTTTGCCGGATTTGCCTCAATTCCTCTCTGATTTACAATGTATCCCAAGAACTAGCCTGATGCCACTCCGAAAGTGCACCTGATGGGGTTCAGCTTCATGTTATACTTTTTGAGTATCTGAAAAGTTTGGTCAATGTGACTCACGTGTTCGGCCGCCTGGAGACTTTTGACCAACATGTCGTCCACGTAGACCTCCATGGTTTTGCCAATGAGTTCGGCAAACATCATGTTGACTAATCTCTGGTATGTGGCCCCGGCATTTTTCAATCCGAAGGGCATAACTTTGTAGCAATACAGCCCCCTGTCCGTAATGAATGATGTAGCTTCCTCATCAGGTCGGAACATGGGTATCTGGTTGTACCCTGAGTACGCATCCATGAAACTAAGTAGTTCATGCCCAGCAGTGGAGTCCACCAGTTGATCAATTCTTGGAAGTGGGAAGCTGTCCTTGGGACACGCCTTATTCAGGTTTGTGAAGTCCACACAGACCCTCCACTTCCCGCTGGACTTTTTCGCAAGAACTGGGTTGAATATCCACCTCGGATATATGGCCTCTCTGATGAAACCACTGCGGCTAAGTTTACTTACTTCGTCTTTCAGCGCCTTGTACCATTCCGGGTTCAAGGCACGCCTCTTCTGTCTATGGGGGGCATAGGAGGGGTTGATGTTAAGGTGATGACAACTGATCCTAGGATCTATTCCCACCATATCTTCATGTTTCTATGCGAAGACATCCAGGTTTTCTTTCAAGAATCGTATCATCTCAATTTTTGCTTCAGGTGATAATGACTTCCCTATGCGCAAGACTTGATTGGGGTCTTCTGGATTGACTGGGAAAGTTTCGAGTTCTTCCATGGGGGTCGCATTTGGTTCATAATCGATTATTCGGGGGTCTAACTCATAAAGAGGGTGTCCTTGTTCAGGGGCCTCTTCCATGACGACATCTTCCTCTTGTTCAGAGGTATGCCCTTGTTCAGGGGCGTCGAGCATTTCCACGTCCGTACCGACTTCAGCGGGTACTTCGGCTAGGATTACATTGACAGTTCGGGGCTCAGATTTACGCAGCGAGTTTAGGTAGCATGCCCTGGAACCCATCTGATCACCCCGGACTGTTGCAATCCCATGTTCAGTTGGGAATTTCATGCACAGATAGTGAATGGACGTCACAACCCAAAGATCTTTTAGAGCGGGTCTGCCCAATACTCCATGATAAGCCGACCTATGATCTACCACCAGAAATTCCATGAAATGCTGGGCGACCAGGGGGGCCGAACCCATTTCCACAGGCAGGGTGATCCGCCCTCGTGGGATGATGCTGTCCCCAGTGAATCCGAACAGTGGGTCGGTCATGGGGATTAACCCATGTTCAATTTGAATTTTGTCAAAAGTGGAGTCGAACAATATGTTCACGGAACTGCCATTGTCAATGAGCATACGTTTCAATCCATTTCTAGCCACTACGGCTCTTACAACCAAAGCGTCGCAATGGGGATGGTGAACTCCCTCTGAGTCTTCCTGGGAGAAGGTGATTGGGGCCATCTTGTTTGCTGATTTCGATTCGTCGACAATGTAGGTGATCATCGGGGGATCCTTAGCTTCTCTTGTATAATTTCTCTGGGCATTCCTAGTATTGCCACCGACATGGGGTCCCCCAATGATGGTATCGATTTCCCTAATGACCTGACCTCCAGCGAATTGGGCTTGGTTCCCTTGCCTGGATTGGCCTCGGTTTCTCGATTCTCTTCTGCGAGGAGATTGTTCCTGGTGAACTCTTCTTCCCCTCCTCGGGGAGGTGGATCTGTGGGGGTGCTCGTTTCTGCTGGAATTGTGGGGGTTGCTTCGATCAGGGCGCCGATTGGCATCACGACACTCGCTGGTGTCATGCCCGTATAGTTGATGGAAAGTACAAAATCTTGCTCCTGCCAAGGGCCTATTTGGCCTCTTTTTCTTCTTCTTGTTGTTGTCAGTTCTTCCAGATGGTCCTGCCTCAGCGGGTGCGTTATCATATGCCAACACCGGCACTACGTTCCATGTGGCGGAAGCTAGGGCCTGTCCTGATGTGGGAGCTATGGTATGCCCTGCTTGGGTCCATTGCTGAGTAAGAAGGTGCGCTGCGGGGCCTCGACCTACCTGCCTCTGTGGGGGAGGGAGTCCCTGCGCGACACGGTTGCGATGATCAATCATTTCTTCATTAACAATTTCCACTCTCATCATCTCCACCAGCTCGTCGTATGTGGAGGGATTTTTGCTGCGCATGTCCCTCCAAAACAAAGTGTTCATGTTGACACCACCTTTCAGGGCTGAAAGGGCTTCCCTGTCAGTGATCTGCTCGCAGTAAGTAATTTCGTCTGTAAACCTGGTGAGATAGCTTTTCAGCGTCTCTCCAGGGGCCTGCCTCATGTCTTGCAGGTGTTGAATTGGCGCCTCTCCTTCCCTGCGTGAGAGGTACTGGTTCAAAAATGCTTTCTTCAAGTCTGACCAACTTCTGATGCTTAGGGGAGGAAGCCTGCTATACCACACCTCGGTGGCTCCGCCTAGTGTTAAATGGAAGGCTCTGCACTTTAGAGCAGGTGAGGCTCCCCTAAAACTCATTTGTGTCATATACTTTGTGAGGTGCTTCTCCGGATCCCCTTTTCCCTCATACTTGGGGATCTTAGGGGGCATGAAGTTAGTTGGCATTGGAAGTTTCGAATTTCCCTTGAGAAAGGGAGGTTATCGTCGTCGTCGTCAACCTCATAAGATCGACAGGGCCCCTCTGTTCCTTCATCATCTTGGATGTCTTGGGGTGGAGGAGATGCTTCTCCCCGGCTCCCCCAATCGACTAAGTTTCTCCTCTCCCTCCTATTTCTAGGAGGAGGGGGAACATGCTCTTCTTCGCGGTTCGACCGGACCGACCCTTTTGCCGGGCGGACCCTGTTGCTAGGATCGTTCCCTATCCGGTTGAAGACGCTCACTGACCTCTGGTCATCGTGTTCATGAGGAAAGTTGTCCCCCAAGAGTGGTTCTGATGGATGACTCTCTTGCACATAAGATGTCGCTTTGGTGTTCCCCTCTCTTTCGAGAGGACGTTCTGTGTGCCGGTTCATGTGGCCTCGAGAGTGAGACAAAGGGATTTCCTGTACCGGATAAGATCCTTGGGGCCTCTGGTGTCCCTGGGCTTGCATGAGAAGTTCCCGCATCGCCATATTCTGAGCTGCTATGTCTCTCATACCCGCAGCTATCTGGGCCATTCTTTCAGTGAGTATGGCTGTTCTTTCGCCTCGTCGACGTCGGTGATGCGGTCTCTGATGAGTAACATTGTTATGGAGTACCTCTTCTTCAGAGGCCTCTCTCATGGGATTGTCTTCACGGCTGTAGCTCATCCTATCTCTTTTTTCAAGGGTAGTAAGAACTTGGATTGTAATTCGACTTTGTTCTTTTTTCAAGAATGCCCCATTTTCAGGGTTAGTCGCCGATTTTCCGGTGTCTTCTCCGATGGGGAAGGCAAAACTTCAAATGGGAAGTGAGTTTCCCACAGACGGCGCCAAACTGTTGACCTCCAAAAATGGCTCCTCCACGTGACCAACTTATAGCTATTCCACGTATTCCTCCCTGCGAAATGAACAAACGGTCAGGCGCACACGGCCGGAACCGACGGGGGTGGTGGCGGCCGTATACAATCCGACGGTCAAGTCAGGTTTGGGTGGTCGAAACAGTGCCCAGGGGCTACACAAATTAATCAATAAAGGGGGAGGAGAATATATAAACTTGTTATGGAATGCTATGTATTGAGAGTTTCATTTTTCATTTTTCTCCTTTGCCTCTTGTCAAACCTTGGGTATTTATAGGTGGTATGAACCGCTGGATGTGGAACGCGTGTGTACATCTGACGGTATGAAGCGTCTGCTTATAGGCGTCAATCGGCCGCGCTTGTAGAGTGGGCGGACATTTTGTTTCCCCCGAGTTGAATTGACATAAGTTGATAAGTCACATCAAATAGCCTCATGGAGACGTCAAATCAATTTAAGCCTTAGGTCCAGGACAAATCTTAAATTGGCGGCGGATCTTCTAACCTGGGTCCACTTGATCTCGACCTCGGAGGTGAGATGCTTCGGCAGATCAGTAGTAGGAATCAATATATCACTTCGGAGAAGTTTCGGGAGGGTTGTTTTCAGGTCGGAGTAAATGGTGCTGCGTAGGGTCTACTTGATCTCGGCCTCGGTGGTGAGATGGCACTTCGGTATCGAGGCGTAACGGTAAGTGTTCGTGGAGTGTTAGGGTTGGATGGGGAAGGAGAAGGATTAATTCTCTCTCTCTTTTTTCTTTCTTTTGATTATTTTATGGACAATGTTACACGTATCAAATTCTTTACCAAATTTTTTACATACTACTCACAACAGGAGTGGGGATCACGGGCTGGCATTTCTAAATTCACATGGGGCCCGCTATACATTGTAAGAGGAGAAAACCATTCGACATCCACATTATGTACAAATGGAATTTTCCTTATTTTATTGGAGATATATAAAGTTATAATTTTTCCTTTTTAAAATAATCAAAATTTGATCAAATTAACCTTTTTGGGTAAACTAATGGAGAAATTGACAGAAAATGGATGGAAGGACTGTTTGCGCAATCAAATGTATAATTAAGGCGAAAATATCAAAAAATAAAATATACAAATGTTTCGCACAATAATAGTAAAAGATAGGAACATTATATACTAATTACCCATAATAATAGTAATAATAATATCTTGATGATTAGGATGGTTATCAACTATTATCATCGACAGTGTCGTGACGTTGTTAAAAACCACCGACATGTTCCAATCCCTAATGAAAATAAATTGATATTTGGAACTATTGTCATCGTGACTATTTGAACCATTTACAATGACATATTAATAAACTGATCTAAAAATTTATTTATCATTTATATAAGTTGTATATGTAATTTATAATTTTAAAATATTGTGGCCCTATTAAAACCCCATTGTTCTCTCATTAAAATGAAATATATGACCGTTATCCATTTCATCAAATCATATTTAATTTTTTATTTCTTGTGTGGGGTTCATAACTATTATATTTTTCATTTTCATTTTTACAATAATGTGGCTCAAATAGGAGCTGAATGTTATCGTCCATACATTATATTGATGTATTTTGTTATTTACTAAAACAAAACAGAAAACAAATATAGAGATGGTCTCATTCTTGATTTTTGTTATCTATTTATTTATTTTTCAAGATGCTGGTCATGGTTGGGATACTACCAATTTTGACATTTCTTCATTAGAAAATTGAGTTTAATTAAATTCATATTTTAAGGTAATTAATTAAATTCATCAACACATTCTAAGCAATTATAATAGATATCTTGTAAATTATTAGTTTCTTATATTAATTTCCACACTAATCTTGAAATCATTAAAGAAATTGGACATGACATGTCAAGATATCAAACGACAAATAAAATGTCCATTACAATCCTAACACCTGCTAATACTATTATTCTCGGACAAAATTTTCGACTGTTACTTTATTATTTACAGTCGCACGCTTGACTCTTCTACACCGTGTTTCCCCTCTCTCATTGATGTGTAGGGTTTTAATAAACACTGTCTTGACAAACTCACACCATCGAAGATACCCATTATAGAATTCATAAAAATCTTATCTTTCTTGTATCTTCTTGAGCTGGGCTTGAGCTCACAGAAGAGAGCAAAATCCTAGCTTATTTTGACTTGATTATGGTGGGGCCATATAGTTTGCTCGGCCATCCTAGCTTTCTTAGCTGAAATCTCGGAAGTAATGAACCAATTTTCACTGATATAGGTAGGTTAATGCTTATGCGAATACCCACTTTGTTTTTCCTCAAGCTTGCAAATCTTTGGTTTACTTAATTTTGAACTGTAGAAATGGGGAATTGAATTGGGTTTACTTCATTTTATGCGTTCCTTTTGTTCAGAGGTCAATTTATTATTATTATTATTATTATTATTATTATTATTTTTAAATTAGTAATGATTATGTACTCTTTATAGTTGAGAGAGAATAGGGGAGGAAATGGAAGGGAAGGAGCACGGGTTGATGCTGGCTTGTGTAATTTCGGCGACGCTTTTCTCTGTTCTGGGTTCTGCTTCTTTCACCATACTGTGG